AATTATAATAATTTGGAGTTTGTCCATATGTGCTGTGGTGTTTGTAACAAATCATCCCCAAAATTAATGGCTTAAAATAATAATTTTAATTGCTCACAGTTTTGCAGGTCAGGAATTTGGGAATAATTCAACTTAGGCAGTTATGGTGAGATATTGGTGTGGGGCTTTGGTCACCTGAAAGTTCCACTGGGCTAGATGTGCAAGATGGCTCACTCTCATGGCTGGCAGTTGAAGCTGGGTATCCATTCACAGCTTATAGGGGGTTGTCAACAGAAGTGCATGTGGTTTTACTTTTCAGCATGGCTGTTGGATTCCTTCTGCAAGGGAATAACCTGAGAAAGGAGCGTTCTAAGAGACCAGTTGTGGAAGCTGAAAGGCCTTTTCTTATCTCATCCTGGAAGTAATGTAGAGTTCATTCTATGGTATCCTATTGCACAAACAATAAAACCAGCCTAGATCCAAGGAGAGAGCATTGGCCTCCATCTTTCAGTGGGAATAGTAGCAAAAGATTTGTAGCCATCTTTAATCTACCACACTATGATTTCCATACTTTTAAATAATTACTGAATTTAGAAATAATAGAATTTAATTTAAAAAAACAGACTTGAATTTTCATCCTAAAATTAATTATACTTGAATGAGAAAAAGAAAATATCATAATTATTAAAATGTATAGTTTTCTATCAATGAACAATATACATTTAAATAAGCAGAAGCTTAGTCTGACTCTTGGTTTCAGTTCAGGTCATGATCTCAGGGTTGCGAGACTGAGCCCTGCATCAGGCTCCAAGTGAGCTGGGAGTCTGCTTAAGACTCTACCTCTCCCTCTGCCCCTCCCTGCTGCACTCTCTCTCTCTCTCAAGTAAATAAATCTTTTTTTTTTTTTTAAAGATTTTACTTATTTATTTGACAGAGACATAGCGAGAGAAGGAACACAAGCAGGGGGAGTGGGAGAGGGAGAAGCAGGCTTCCCGCAGAGCAGGGAGCCCAACGCGGGGCTCGATCCCAGACGATCCCAGGACCCTGGGATCATGACCTGAGCCGAAGGCAGATGCTTAACTGAGTAGCCACCCAGGTGCCCAGTTAATGGAATAATCTAATTTGAAAAATCAAGAATATTAAAATCGTTAATTCTACACATCAATATTATTTCTAATTCAATAGATCATCCTGTCAAATACATCCTAGAAATTTGCAAACATAGTGAGAATATTGAGGGAATATTGCTCTTGCTCTTCAGCTAAGAGTGTTGTTCAAGAGATTTTATTTTATGTGTTAGACAAATACTTCTGTGAATATTGACACATGTATATATAACAACTAAAAATGAAACTCTAGATAAGATTCATTTGCATAGTCATCATAAAGACTTTTATAAAAATTGGCTTCTAATGACATGATAAATATTTAAGGTGTTATTCCATAAGTAAATGCAAATGATATATTATCACCTATTGATTTAAAACTGTGAGATTATGAACTTCTTGAAAAAGTTCCCCAGGAACAAAATCAGAGAATTGTATAAAGTGAGCATAGTTTTAGAAAACCAATTTTTTTTTTTACAATTCCTATTAGTCACAATATAGGTGAATCTTCCATTTTAAATTAATTAATCAACAAAATAATTAATATACAAAAATATTGTTGATAATCCACAAAAAGCAATTGTAGTAGATTCAGACAGATGCCGAGATCTTTTAGTAAAGGACTCAGTGCCCAGCTGCAAATCCTGTGGTTAGCTGATTGCCTCCTGCTGTTAGCTAATGCCTTAAGGGCCTGCCTCTTCTTTCTACCTGAAGTCAGTCTCATTTGTGGATGATCTGAGACAATGAATAAGTAACAGCAGCTGAGATCTAGTTATTCTTGAGACAGCCCCCAGTCAATGACTGAACAGGGAGCGATATAAGAGCCTGCCCACCTTCCCTCAACACATGATTCCTCTAAGAGGCGCTCCTGGCGCTGGAGCTCTTCCTTTGGCTGACAGAGGATTTGTCAGGTATGAATCTTGGTCCAACTATCTCCCTACCCGAGTCTGATTTTTCTTTTCTTTTAACATGGGTTTACTCTCTAATAAACCATTTGCACCCTTAACTCCACTTCAGTATTTGTTTCCTGGAGAACTCACCTGTGACATTTTATTTTATGAGAAGAGTTAATTTTCTTAAGTGAGATATTATGCAAGACTTTAGGAATATAAGTATTAGTACAATGTAGTGTTTGCCATCAGGTATTTATGGTCTGCTGTTTTCTTCAACCTCCACAGAAAGTTTCTAGCACAGAGCCACAGGCCTAATTAATTGAAAGCCTAACAATTTGATCCTAGATCTCTGATTCTAAAACGCATGATTATTCTCTTACCTACTTCTTAAGTTTGCTATATTTTTTCCCTTTATATTGTGGAGCAGGTTAAGCATTCTTGCCATTAATATTTAAAATCTATGAAAATAAATATTAAAAACAATGAGTGTAAACTCCATGAAAACATGATTTAGTCAAGAAATAGGCCTACTGCAAAAGGAAAGGTACAGAGATAATTAGCACCTCCCAGCCAAGCTGGTTCCAAACAACTGAAAGATATTTGTAAATTAAAATCATATGTTTGGTATTGCTTAGTTTAGAGGAAGTAGAAATTATCAACACCATGAAAGCCAAAATAAACAAATATTCTGTTTTTTTCTAAGCCATTAGCTATTGTGTTCCTTGTCAGTTCAGCTAGGTTAACAGATTCAGAAAAAGTGGTAATTCTAATGTTTATATTATTTGGTGATTTTTATGGGAAGGAAATGTGGATTTGAGCTTATGCACATCAGTTACAGTGTTTGGTGCTAATGAAATGGTCTATCTGCTAAAGTGGAGGGGGAAAAAAAGAGTCTGAAGAGGCAGGGGAATAGGCAAACAACATGTGAAGTATTAATATTTCATGACATAGGATTTAGATGCTATGGAACACGTCCTTACTCTCAAGGGAGATCTTACTCAGCCAACAAGGGGAAGCTCTCTAGTGGAGTAAGGAGCAATGTTTGAAATGCCTCTAAAAGCACAAGAAATTGTGGGGAATGGAGAGGCGCTGTGGGTGGAAGACTGTATAATCCAGTCCTGTGTATGTGTAAAGCAAGGATACATAAAAACCTCTCGTGTTTCAGTTCTATAGGAATGAGTGAAGGTTGTAAGAAAGTTGGAAATGAAAAGCTCGGAAGCTCCAGAAATAAGCCAGTAGCAGTTAATGAAAGGCATTATATGCTATGCTAAAGAGTGTTGCCTTCTTTATTTTCCTGAAGGAGGTGATTAGCTGTTAAATAAGAAGAGATGTAATTTATCCGCATTTAGCAAAATATCTCTGGCAGATTGGGAATGTGATAAAAAACCAGTTTAGAAACTTACTGCATTAAGCCAGGAAAGAAGCAATGAGTACCTAGAATAAGTTAATGAGGATAGAGAAGAGTGAGTCCAAGAAATATCAAGGAAATAGAGATGAGAGAGTTTGGTATCCGATTTGGTTCAGAGTGAATAAAAAGAGTATAGGATGGCTTCCTGGTTATTTTTAGGAACTAGGAAGATGTGAGAAGTAAGTAAAAGTGAAGGTTTCAGGTAGAGAGAAATATTAAGATGAAGGTTGCCCTGAAATGTCTATGGGACAATGTGAGTATATGCTTAATAAGTAGTTTTATTTATGGGTTGAAGCTTAGAAGATGGAAGAGTCTAGATTAAGTATTTGTATCTGAGCATTACCTGCATACAGTAATATAGGCCCTAAATGTGGATGTACTGTGTACAGAGGCTATAGCTGAGCGTACTTGCCCAGTGAGAAGATTAAATGCCCAAAGACAGAGCTCTAGGGAAAGGGACAAATATTAGAGAGATGTCGTTAAAGACAAAGACTGTAACATGGTAACTGGTTTGGGAATTAATATTTAATTATGGCAGGGGAACAAATGGTAGATAAAAGTATCTTTTTTTAAATTTTATTTTTTGTTATGTTAATCACCATACATTACATCATTAGTTTTTTTATTATGTTAATCACCATACAAATACATCATTAGTTTTTGATGTGGTGATCCACGATCCATTGTTTGCATATAACACCCAGTGCTCCGTGCAGTACATCCCTCCTTAATACCCATCACCAGGCTAACCCATCCCCCCACCCCTTCCCCTCTAGAACCCTCAGTTTGTTTCTCAGGGTCCATAGTCTCTCGTGGTTCGTCTCCTGCTCCGATGTCCCCCCCCCTTCATTTTCCCCTTCCTGCTAATTCTTTTTTTTTTTTTTTTTTTTTTTTTAACATATAATGTATTATTTGTTTCAGAGGTACAGGTCTGTGATTCAACAGTCTTAAACAATTCACAGTGCTCACCATAGCACAAACCCTCCCCAATGTCTGTCCCCCAGCCACCCCACCCCATCCCTCCCACCCCCCCCCACCACTCCAGCAACCCTCAGTTTGTTTCTTGAGTATAGCCATTTTTCTACTCACTATGCACAAGAATGAGAGGAAAGAATTTAGGATAATTCACTGGTTTCTGTCATGAGCAACAAAATGGACAAATGGATATCAAAGAAAATGACTTTTTTTTTTTTTTAAGATTTTATTTATTTGCGAGAGAGACAATGAGAGACAGAGAGCATGAGAGGGAGGAGGGTCAGAAGGAGAAGCAGACTCCCTGCTGAGCAGGGAGCCGGATGCGGGACTCGATCCCGGGACTCCAGGATCATGACCTGAGCCGAAGGCAGTCGCTTAACCAACTGAGCCACCCAGGTGCCCCAGAAAATAACTTTTTAAAAAAGCATACGTGTGTATATTATATAGAATAATATCTTCAGATACATTAGCTTGTTTATTTTGCAACTTAGAATGTACTATGAAAAATATCACACTGTAGAGAAAATTTCAGTTTCATTAGTCATATGCAATTATCTGCCACTGTGTGAAGCTGACTTTCCTTATCCAGAGCAAAGTGAAAGGGCTAAGCCTATTATGCTGTCTCTGATGTTTTTATAGGATATAATGAAAGATGAATGCTCACTGCTGAAGCTGCAGCTGAAAGAGCGGGATGAACTCATTTCCCAACTTCAGGAAGAGCTGGTAAGTGATAAAAATACTTGCCCCACAAGTATACTTTCCTTGAAAGGTTATTTGCTTTAAACCCTCTAACAACTTTTTCGTTAACAATAATATTATTTATAAACTGTTAGTGTTTCCGTTGGATTCATTATCAATTTTATAGTCCTATAGCAACGATGACTTGAAAATCTGAAAAATAGGATAGTCTATAATCTATATTGAACTTTGTATAATTCCAAAACAGATTACTGAACCAAGGTTAGATGTTTTAGTTGTATTTCTCAAAAATTGTAAAGACTGAGGCCATATTTTATTTTGTAAAATGTGTGATTTAACTTCAGACTGCCCTACCTAGAGATATAACCATGTAATATGAGGCAAAGTACTCAAAAATCTTAAATGGAAACATTTACTTTTTATTTTCACAAAGCTACCAAAAATGTATTACCTTGATGAGATTTTTATTTATATAATATCTATATTATATAAATATAGATATAAATATAGATATAAAATATCTATATTATATAAAGTATATAGAAATATATCTATATACATATGGATATATAATATCTATATTATATAAAAGTTACACAAAATATTAAATGTTTATAGTTGATGTTTTTGGGGTGTTTATAAATGTGATGTCATAAAAAATGTCTTAAACTCTTATAACCTGAAAACATACTTGGTAGGTAACAAGAATAGCAGTGTGCATTATTTTTCTATCAGTGGTATTTTGCAATAAAATTTACTGAGTTTAATAAAAAATGATCTGTAAAATAAGAATGAAAAAGAGGAATGAAAAAGGAATTTTAATTCATCAAGAGTTCTTAACAATACCAATAAAATGAAGAAATATTACACAATAAGAGAGCCTGACTCATTATCAAGATCAAAAAACAAATCCTAGTCAATATGTCAGAGTTGTGTACATTCTTTATGATGATGTCAGAGTTGAGTACATTAACAATGATCTATTACATAATTATTTGATACAATTAAATGACAAAACAGATCTTATAGACCAAGCTTCTGAGAGTTCTTAACATATTAGTGAGGGCAGACAAACTTAGAGCATATATTATTGGTTCTTGGCAGTGGACAGTGTTTTTACTGAAATTTGACCTTTAGACTGTGTTATGATTGCATTGATGCTGATTATTGGCTTCATGAGCATATTATTGTTGCTTTAGAAAACCTATCAACCAGTATTTAAAATAGTAATAGTACTACAGACAAAAGGAACATGTCTTACATTACTGGGAATAACTTTCTGTAAATAATTGATTTATTATAAACTTTATTACATTAGGATAATATTTCTATATTTAATATAACTATAGATATGCGATCAAGCTTTGTTTATGTGGTAGCAAAAAATCTGCATTGAATAAAAATCATGTAGATTAATATTAAAGGATGCATAGAATCACCAGTTTTAACACAACAGAAAATCTACCATTCACTTTGTCAGAGAATGCTTATTTTTGGAGGATTAACTCAGAAAATAAGTATTCATTTCTCCCCCACCAACATTAGTTGTGTCATATTTAAAACATAGCACATACAAGACATCACACCTTCATTTGTTGAAGGAAATTAGAAAGGAAATGATTACTTTGAAAGCCAATATTACATAGTTCAACTCTTAAAGCAGTTTAGGACCCTTTTCTCCAAGAAAGAAAGTCTTCTGTTGGCTGATTTAGTAAAATGACATTCAAGGGTTTTGTTTCTGTTTTTGTTTTATTTTCTATTTTTCTTTTTAACTTGAATGACCCAAAATGACTAATTAGCCTCCAACATTTCGCAGGAAACAATCAAGGTATTATTTCCACTTTTGTTCTATGTAGTCTGCATAATCATCTTGAATATTTAAACAGGAAAATGTTAACTTCTGAAAACAAAGTTGGTTTTATTAAAGAGGACTCTAGCTAAAGAAGAAAGTGTATAAGTGATTTGAGGATTTAAGGAAGAAGAGACATTGCTAAAAAGAAAAAGCCATCACTAAAACTGGATTTAGAGCCTATAGGAGAGGTACAACCCCATAAAAGCAATGTAACCCAGTTGGATCCATTAAAATTAAGTCCTAGCACTTTTCATCCCGATAACAAATAACTTGTGACATTTTGACAAGGTGGACCTTAAGCTGCACCTTTATACATTACCTACCTAAATTTGAAGATTTCAAAACATTTTAGAAACCAGTTTAGCTGTACCCTATTATAATACATTATAGTAGATCTATAATTTGGAGCTAGTTTAGTTCTCTCTTGTTTATCTTGGGTTTTTCATTTCTTGACCACTGCTATTATAAGAATTCTATATACCTTCTAAATCAGATTTTGATATAATTATATCAAGAAAGGATTTATTTCCAACTTAATAAGCTTATTTTTTGTATGGTTGTTTACTTATTCAGCCTCACTTTGGTAGTTTCAGGAGTATTAAGAAGTTAGTTGGGGCAGTGTGGGGTTGGTGCAAAAGAGAGGTTTTTAAATGCAAGTTTTGGGTTATTATCTTTAGATCAGGGTTTTCCAACAGCAGCATTCTTGACATTTGGTACCAGATTATTGCTCATTGTAAGTTCTGTGCACTGTAGGATGTACAGCAGTGTCCATGCCCTCTAGCCTCTCTCCCATAGTACCTTCCACACATTGCCAGTTATCCAGAGGGGCAAAATTTCCCCCAGTTGAGAACCATTGCTTGAGGGTTATTAGATTATAGTCCCCAATAAAATTGTATGTTATAGGATGAGTATCTATCTGTTGATAGCCAGTTTAAACAAAGTAAAAAAAAAAAAAAAGTTCGGTAGAATAGATGGGCTTCTTTGTTTATTACATAAATAGTTCTTTGCATGGTATTTTAGGCTGCTAGGCTGCCATACAAAACACCATTTACCTTCAAATACGAAGGATATTGCTATGGATTGAATTGTGTCCTCCCAAAGTTAATATGTTGAAGACCTAACCCATGGTGGGAGGGGGGTGCTCTTCTCTTACTCTTCTTGTAAGGGCACTAATCCCACCATAAGGCCTTACTTTTATGACCTCATCTAACAACTCCCCAAATCCCCACCCCCAAATACCATCACGTCAGGGGGTTAGGAGTTCAATGTGAATTTAGGGGGACACGGTCATTTAGTCTGTAAGGGAAGTAAGGGTATCAGAGGTCTTATGGAATTGTACCCCTTCACTACAACTCCTTAATAATAGTTGTTATGATTTTACTATTTTTGCATATCACAGTTCTCTTGTAAGATTCTAATTGACAGAAAGTCACATCTGAGGATAAAAATCAAACCAAAAACCTGGACAAGATTATTGCTAAAGACTGCTAGGAGTTACTGGTTCAGAGTAGGAAATGAGATGAAAAACTGACATGAATGAGAATTATTCAACATCTTGTTAATAAGGATATTAGCTGAAGGCATGGAAAAGAACCAACTTTCAGAGTCAGAAATGATAGGAAGTCTTTTCTTTTTAATAATTAAAACTTGGATTTATACTTAAATATAAGTTTGTGCTTATTGTGTATGTAGAATATATTTAACTTTTTGTGTATTAGAAATAGAACTCTCTGACCAGAACAAAGATTTAGGGATTTCATGAATTTACTTCAAGGTATTTAATGCATTGGCATAGATTTAGACCAAAAATCTAAACATAATGGCTTAAAGTAAGAATGCTCAATCAGAATCTATATAAAAGTTACCTAAAATAAGTTATTTTTAACTTTATGTTTAACTTTGACTATTCGTGACATAAAGCAGAGAAATATTTTTCCCATGTATGAGAAAGTTTGATTCTTTTTCTCAGCTATTAAGTGAAGGTCACGTTGAAGATTGCAGTGTAATTTTATTGCTGGTATAAAACTGAGGGACATTGTAAATATTGCCGCCTTGTTCCTAAAATAAATCTGAGCGATTTATCATAAACATTGGTGGTGAAGTGTGTAGCCTTGTGTATTGGTGGGGGGGAAGGGGTATACAGGTATTTTCTGGTGAATGATTATTAATCTTATAAATGGCTTCAGAAATTTTATAAATGGTTTCACAGTATGGATGAAAAGTGTGCCCTATAGGATTTCAGAAATTGAAGAAAATGGGTTTGGTATTAATAGATTGATTCAAAATATTTTTAAAGAAGTTGGAGTTAACTTAAAAGTAAAAATAACTTTTGTTGGACCTAAGACTGTAAATAGTAAAATTTAATTGCCCTAACTAGGATTAGTACACCATACTATGTATTTATTGTTTTACCAGTAATTTAAATGCCTATTCCTTTGTCAAAAATGAATGTATATGTAATCACTCTAGAAAAGGTGAATTGTCAGTAATTTATGATTCTAAACTTTATAATTTCTACTATTTTACTCTTCCCTTTGGAACTTTCATTTTGTAGCTGATCTGAGTAAAAAGCATCAGATACAGCTTTTTACAGTATATTTCTTTAAAAGCATATTTCTACTTAAAAGTTCAGTTTAAATGAATAACCCCAAAATAAGATTTCAGCCAAAAAGCTTATGAACTGTCTGAAAATAAATATACTTTAAAACATCCCTCATTAAGACAAAGTAAGGCCAAGTAAAAATACCTCTTATGTTTGCCTTCATAATCTATTTTACCACATAACATTGATACTTGTCAGAATGTAGTGAAAGCTATTTGTTACCTTAGTCACCACATGTTTGTAAGCTAAAGAGTAAGGGGATGCACTGACTGTGAAGCATTTAAAAAAATAAAACTAACTAAAAGCCATCTGCATTTCTCATAGGTCGGTTGTAAAACCCCTCCCTGAAAGATGTTTTGTTTTCTTGTGGATCTGAATCCTAATTTAGTAACTTCAGGTTAAGATGTTTACATTTTACACACTTTACAATTTCAGTCAGCACATTATTACTCATCTCTTAATAAACATTGTATTTTTAAAGGAAGGTTAATTGGGAGAAGTTCCAGTTGAGGAGAACTCTGTACAGAGATTAACAGTTCAGAATTGGCAAGCTTTAAATTCAATTTGTGT